CTTTGACCTGCTTTTTTTCCCTTCAAGGTTCCACTGTCTTCCATTAGTTACCACGGTTCTCGTCTGGTCCAGGCTCTGGCCAAGTTTAAGGAGCGATCTCTGCTCCTCAGCAGCCTGCGCACTCTGAGCCATGCCGACCTCTTGACACTGGCTTCTGATCCTGCAGGCAGCCACGTCCTCCAGGCTCTGGTCACTACATCCAGTGACAAAGGGAGGGGCAAAATCCTCAAGAGACTTGAGGTAAAGCAATGAGTTGTAACGCTGCAACATCTGAATGGCAGCATTCAGCCGAAAACAGTCTCAAAGGCCAGTGTTTGGAAAGTTCAGAAACTAAAATTTGAACACATTGTCAGCTCTCGGTGTTGTGTTAGTTACAGGCTTAACACTTTAACATTAACGTTTTGCAGTACATTTTTCTGTGAAACTATTTTAAATTTTATATAAACAGTCCATTTGTATTAGGCCAAACAATTCTCATGAAAATGTGTCTTTTCAGGGTCTGTACATCCAAATGTCCTGCTCCAAGTTAGGCAGTCGTGTGGTGGAGGCCATTTGGAACAGCGCCTCAGTCAGTCAGAGGCAGAGCATTGCACAGGAACTAGGTAACAAACAGTCACTTACCTGGTTTATTTCCTTTCAAATATGAACTGCTAAACGTATTCCCCTTTTTCTTCCAGTTCCGAGTGAAAGCCAGCTGAGGTCGGATCAGTTCGCACGTCACATTTGGGCCAAATTTGCTCTCTCCCACTTTGTGCACAGACGCGCTCACTGGCAGGAGATACAGACTGGAGAGTCCAAGAAGAGGAAGATGTTCAGTGACATCCTGGAATAGAACGTTCACATCTGTACAAATATTTTCTTATTCACAGCTCTGTTCTAAGGAGCCCCTAAAGGGACATGGGGAAAAATAAAACTCAAAAGTTTCTCGTGCGCTCCATACTGTTCTAATAAAATCATAAAAGGTTTTTCTCTTGTCTGCTTTCAGCGATGGGGCCACATTTAGCTGCAATGATTAAATATAACCTGTAGGGGCTGCTATTGGAATGTTATTTTCCCATTACTCTGGTTTGTGGAATAAGCCAGGCAAACATGATGGTGAACTCAGTCTAAGAACTTAGGGGAACACAGAAACCAGGGACAAATTAAATACATAGATTATCTTTACAATTATTAGGTTTGAAAAAACATGATTATTATAATACTTTTGTAATAAACCATTTAACAGTACTACTTTATGTAATATTTTATAGTGTCAGGCACCTACATGTGCCCAGATTATTTTTGCAGCCAATGAAAATACATTTTTTTATTGCGAAGATCCTGATGCAATATAAACTGTAATAATAGCAAACATTTTTCTCTGTGCCTTCACACAGTGCCATTTCACAACCATCACCGGGCCGGAAAATATTACAACGTCCTTCCGCTTTTAAACGGCTTAGCGCCTCATTATCCGACGAGGTTTACTTAAAAATACAATCAACAGTTGACAAAATATTTTTAACCTCCATGATTTCCTTTATTCAGACTTATTTCCTCATTATATTCTATTATTTGTCTAATTAATAAAATGTGTAATGTTTTCATTTGGTTGAACCAGTATACTATATATAACTATATATTGCAGTGTTTTAGCAATTAGCTTGTGTATAGACACAAACATAGATTTAGAATATATATATATATATGCATTTATCGTTATATACACATATATACTACATAATTGATGTTATAAGTTTTAATACATAACTACATTGCAGTGTTTTAGCTGAATAAGCGTCGATATGAAGTATATCGTATATGTTTTGGTTTGTTTTTTTTTTAATCAAAGATTTAATTCCCCTTCCCTGCTTATTTCATGCACTCACCCCTTGGGGACGGAAAATCAGAACGCACTTCGTTTTAACACTCGCTTTGTAGTTAAAAATAGTTTCTTAGCAAAGTCACTAAAACGTTAATTCGTCCGTGACAACAAGAACAGAAAGAACATGGCGCTGAGCGCCAAACTGTGACACGCCCCTTTACCCATAACCCTACTGGGTGAGAGGTATGCCCCTCAGTGCCCGCCGCAATTAATGTAAAAAAGTTGCATTAATTTACACCGTTATTTATTATGTTTAAATTGGTTTAGTATTTCACCAAAACTAACTATTTCGTCAAATTTTTACAAGGGCGTCTTGGCGGATGATTTGATTACAGCCATATATATAACTACACATAGAGCAGGCAATCTTTTGGAGGGAACTTGTTTATATATGCAGTTGCACGTTTGAGCCACCGGAGGGCGAATCGTTCATACAACCCAATGGCCAGACCTTGTTGTTGCCGGAGTTAAACCGAACAACCGACCGCATCACCAGACAAGACAAAATACAACCGACAATTATTTTCAAAAACCCACCATTTCAATCAATCACATACAGCCACCGTGCCCAGTTCCTTGACTTGAAGGCTGGAAGCACAAACGGCTAACACTCGGGTCTCATGCGCCGGATCTGCAACCGGAAATAATGACCGTACAACGTATTCCTATTTCCGTTATACTAACGTTTTAATATCAGCGCACCCCCTGCAGTTGACCGCCGACATTCACATTCTTGTTTTTTTTTCTTTAGTTTAGTCTGTTAGAATAACAATATAAAATTAATAATAATAATAATAATAATAATAATAATAACTAATGTAGCCTCAATTACTAAAGCAATAAATCCAAGATCCATTTTTAGTCATTTCCAGTTTTTCCAGAGATAGAAATTAGGCAATATTTACATTTAGAAGCAGAATCAAAGAGCTGACACTGATCATCTGAAGTAATCAGGCATCAGTTCAGCAGTCTGTTACTAATCAAGTAATTATTGCAGCCCAACCGCGGCGCTCAGTGGGTCTGAGAGGCCTCATAATAACCTCTGAGGTTATAATTAAGTTCCTGTGAACACTCCACTTCCTCCACACAGCACCACCTAAAGGGAAGCAGGGACTGAATTCAGTCTTCTGTCACACAAAATGCTCGGTTCTGTGGCAGTGATCCATTCTCGGTGCAGCTCTGTTGGAGACTGGAGTGAATCAGCGGCAAAGGAGACCATTGATCAAGGATTGATCAGAAGAAAACAGATCGTTATCTCTGCAAACTCTTCTCTGTGAGGAAGAGTTTGTTATTGGTACAGACTCAACAGAGGAAGACTTCCCACAAGGGTCAACGTGTCCAAGGTCTGGGTCTTGGGCCAAATGGACCAGCTTTGTGTTGTCCAATAATGTTATGGCTTTTTATCAGGGAAGGAGGAGGAGGTAGCGATAGTTTCCATTGTTCTAGAAACAGTAATACACACTAGTATAGCAGCTCGCTAAGACGTTTAGCACGCATTTCATTTTCAAACTCTTAGCATCAATAGTGTTCCTAGAGGGACAGACGGGTCAACAGCAGAGTGACGTTAATGGAAGAGGACAAAGACAGACAGAAACATCAGACAGAAACATTGGATTATTGATTAAAAGGAACAGTTGACACCAGTGAACATTATTCTAAACACACCAGTCCTGTGGCTACACACATTAAAACTCAGTTCACACCATGTTCGAGGTGTTAATACAACACTACGTGTGTTGGTGCAGCTAGGTGATAATTCCTAAATGGTAAGTTGAGCCTGATTGATTTTTTTTTACCATTAAGGTTTTTTAACGTCAGTAACATCTTGTAATATAATACGAAAAAACACACAGCACCACAGCCCTTAGGTTTTGAACCAGCAACCCTTGAAGTCCAATTCTCTTCCCTTTGGAATTAAACTGTTCTGTCTGGATGGTTTGATCTTGTTTCAGTTGTTTTTTTTTTCTGAGCCCACATCTACTTTTATCCACCATTACATCACTCATCAATACTGATCTCATACAGGTATCTAGTTATAGCCTTACCATATTCGCTCTGCCGTCACCTCTGTAACCTCCTATTAATTCACTTCACTGGAAACATGGGCAGGTCTGCACGAGGCATTAGGCCCATAATGAGGCTCATTTGTTGCCTTTTTTCCACTCCTTCAGTCCTCTTTGACAATCACTGAAGCCTGATGGTTCGCTCCGAGCTTCCCGCTTTGGAAAACTGGATTTAATTGCATGTGTCTTTACGTTGAGTGAAGACACAGGTTTGGTGTGGCTTCTCCCTCTTGTTTTCCCTCATTATTATCAGTCTACATGGTTAATCAGGCCATGTGCACTCAGAAGGCAAATTGGATGAACAACGACCTTTGGTGTACGGAGACCAATCGCTCCTCCAGAACAAATAACACGGAGTCTCCGGGGATTTAGCCACTGGTCTGTTGGAGCCACTGGTCATAAGAGCGCGCGCGTGCGTACGTCACTGCAGCCTTCATTTGTCACAGTACACACTACCTCCCGTCCAACATGCCGACACTCACACCTCAGGAAAACATGCATCTCATTAGAGATGCACAGCACTTGCTGGAAATAGCCTGATGCTAAGTGAGGAGTACGTTCGACAGGCTTTCTCTGCCGCGCAGTAGGTGGTTTTTAACGTCTGTCTACGCTACTGTTGAGAAGTATTCTTATGCTCAAGAAATGACAGAATGAGTCAGCCGCAGAAAGGCAGCGAGGGAGGATCTCTGTCACCATCTGAAAGGCTGATCAAGAAATTGCAATCGTATTTTCATCTGTTTCTCTTTTCTGTTTCCTGTTGCCTTCTGTGCGGCTGTCAAACGTATGCCATTATCTGACAGTTATCTGAACTGCGTACATGTCGTGGAATCCCTTTTGTGCCACTTTAAAAATTCAACGACACGCAAATCTTGCCTTCCTCGCTGGGTTGACTTTACTGCACCTCTGTGCTTTTTACTCCCCCCCAGCAAAAACATCAAACCCCAAAAATCTCATCTTTCTGTAAAAATCAACGTAAATAGGAAGACTTGAGATAGCAGGAGTCTAGGACTCATTGTCTCCTTGACAACGGTCTCCCAGCAACCATTACTCCTCAATGCATTTCTATAACCTCATCTCCGTCTGACTCCTCTGCCCTCCAACCCCCCCTGTGTCTCCTTGCCACTCTGTTTTCCTTTGAGGATCCAAACCACTCCAGGTGACCTTTTATTTCTACACCTCGGGTACAACAGCAAGTGGGCCATGGTTACGAACTACCACCAAATTTCAGTAAAGTCAGAAGGTCAACGTGGTCAAGCAAATGCACTTGCGCTGTCCCCAGTTCAGATAAAAGTATATTTGTGTTCTGGACCTTTAAAATTTCAAATTATAGTTAAAGAGGATTACAGGCCTCGTATTTGACACAAAAGGTCACATTGTTAACTCCTCTATGTGCAAATATGTCTCCAGGTTGCATCAGAGAAGGGGGGGGGGAATGAAGAGTAGAAGAATCTGAACTGTTTCATCAAGTTTGAACTGGTTCAAGGTTCTAAATTTAACGCCTGAGGTCGACCCCATCAGGTGACAAATAATGAACTACTCAGGTATTTTAACACCCACCAAAATTACATGGCGAGCCACATGAGGAAAATAGTGCGACCTTCAAATTAAAAGATCAATCCTAATTTCATGAACATAAAAGCAATCACTCTAAATAGATCGACTCCAACTTTGAAGAGCAAGTGAATTAGGCTAGCCTGACAGCCTGTTTATTCTCAGTCAAGTCCAAGACCTTTTGCTCTAACCTGAACCAAAGAAAGGTTTAAGTTTGGAGTCGAGTCCCCAGGGATTTGAGTTTGGGTCGTTGAGGTTTAGTCTAAATTGATCTGGACTTCTTATGTTTTCCCAGTACTAACTAACTACTAATCTGATTTTTTCCAAATTAAACCCAGGACTTTAGGAAATGTGCCGTGACATATTTAAAAATGCAGAACAATAAACTGAGAAGAGCAGGGCACACCGTCTGCTTTGTGATTCACACCACTGAGCAGGTAACATCGTCCTCTCAATACGTCTGCATCTTAAAGTCAGACAGTTCATA